GAAACTTTTACTATAATTAGTTCATTCAATTTCTGATTTTTTGGGATACCGTGCAACATGGAGCACGCTCTGTGAGAGGCAAAAATAATTAATTTAAGTTAGCGTCGATATTGAATCTGTAAGTCGGTTGTTGTGTCGGATACTGCGGTTCATGTCATAGCTGGCCATGGTTCTTATACTGGGGTTTGCGGTATTCTAATATCCGTTTAAAATTGAGACATTGTTAGGCGATTTTCTCGAAAACTGACGATAATTTTTTAATAAAATTTTCAGGGAGCACAGCTTAATTAACCCCCCCCATCATACTATAAACTCGAAATTGTGAAGCACGCTCTGGGTAAAAAAGGTATGGATAAATTAATTTTTAAGGACTTTTTTTGTATGGGCGGATTCAGAGGTTGGTCCAATGTTAACTGATTTTCTCAAAAACTGCCGAACATTTTTTGATGCAATTTCCTTAAATGTCCTTCCAAGGACGACCTTTAATCTAAGCTAGCGCGCATTGTGGAGCACGCTCTGTGAGTGGAGATATTCCCCAAATAGTAGGACCTGATTTTTTGAATGCATTTTTTTCACACTTTCGAACATCGGCCAGACTTGCGAATTACCTAGATCGAAAGAGAATTTCATTCTAAACAAGTTTGCAGTTAAAATTGTTTGATTTGGCCCCCAGAAGTCAAAAAATAAAAATTGGCCCCATGTTCCAGATTCCACCGTTCCGCTATCGCCGCTAAAGTCACCGACGCTAACTTGACGCACATATATTTTTCGACTAGTAAAACTCTTAGCTGAACTGAGTACTAGGCTTTAAGCCTATTAGGCTTATTGTTTTGGCTATCGTCAAATTATTTGTAGTTTGTTATAATCGGAAAAGCGTTCGCAAACTGGTTGATATGAGTGGGCCAAAATGTAAGCTGTTATGTGAACGAAAACATCAATGTTTGCAGCGAAGGCTCAGAATATTTTCTGCACTTCATAAACATTAACTAACAGGGTCTTCCCACAGAGCTCCATCCACCTTTCACCATCCGTTGAACGGATGGTCCGTAAGGTTTTGCCGTTCCGAAAATTTCCCAGTTAGACCGCTATCCAATTTTGACGGACTTTGACGGGCTCTTTTATCCGATAGTTAGGCGATGTTTTTTCGGTGCAACTCTGAATTCTTTCTCTTGACTGTGAAAACTAGAACGATGACTGCGAGAACAAATCAAATCGATGGCGGGAAAAAATTTAATAATGCAAAAGCTCATTGTTTTTTGGCTCTTGTTAAAGTATTTATAGTTAGTTATGAGCGGAAAAGCATTTGCAAAATTTGAGTGGGCCAAAATGTAAGCTGTTCTGCGTACGAAAACATCAATGTTTGCAGCAAAGACCCAGAATATGTTCTGCACTTCGAAAATAATAACTACTATTAATTAAAGGTGTACTATGTACTCTATAAAGATCCAAAGTTGCTATAAATTAACAAAACAGCAGAAATTTGGGTTTGTTTACAAATTTGCCATATTAATATTGGCTAGACAGAGGCGTAGTATGAGCGGAGTGTGGCGTACGGGGGGTTAGGCTCTCCCGCAGTCAGCAATATGTATGCATTTTTGTTATAGTTTAGATATGTTTTTTAACTATTATCTTAATCTTTTTATTGTATTATTCTACAAAAGGATTAGGAGTACGCAATTTTACGACAGTTTTCCCGAGATGAAATCCCCCTTCGTTAATTTTGAGCTGAGCAACTGCTCTTCAGTCAGCTGTTATTGGAGGGTGGATGGAGTTCTGTGGGAACACGAGTTTCACATTCGTCAAAAATCCCAACCGTTTCAAACGGATGGACCTATGGGAAGAGGCTATTAAGCATTGTTTATTTTTTTCCCGCTATCGAATTGATTTATTCTCGTTTTCAACGTTCCAATTTTCACAGTCAAAAGGAAGAATTCAAAGTTGCACCGAAAAAACATCGCCTAATAGGGTCTTTCCACAGAGCTCCATCCACCATCCGTTGAACGGATGGTACGTAAGGTTTGCCGTTCCGAAAATTTCCCAGTTAGTCCGCCATTCAATTTTGACGGACTTTGACGGGCTCCTTTATGCAATAGTTGGGCTATATTTTTTCGGTGGAACTCTGAATTCTTCCTCTTGACTATGGAAAATGGAACGATAACTGCGAGAACAAAAGTGTTCTTTGTACTCCTAAAAAGTTCCAAAGTTGCTATAAATAACCAAATATAGCACAAATTTGGGTTTTTTTTTACAAATATTTCATATTAATATTGGCTAGACATAGGCGTAGTAAGAGCGGAGTGTGGGGTACGGGAGGTTAGGCTCCCCCAGTCAGCAATATGTATGCATACTCGTTATAGGATATGTTCTAAAAGCTCAGATATGTTTTAAACTATTATCTTATGCTATTTAAGCTATAATTCTACAATAAGATTAGGAGAACACAATTTTACGACAGTTTTGCCGAGTTCAAATCCACCTGCGTTTATGTTGAGTTGAGCCACTGCTTTTCAAGTCAGCTGTTATTGGATGTGGATGTAAACTCTATGGGAAAACGAATTTCACGTTTGTCAAAAATCCCAACCGTTTCACACGGATGGACTCTATGGGAAGAAAGTTAAAGAATATTGAATTTAAAATTAATTAAAAATTAATCCGGTTATTCTCCAAGCCGATGTTCTCCAGGGCTTAATCGCTTTGAAACTCTCCTTTTCAGCAGGACCAGATATGGTTCCTAGCTGTATTTTAAAAAATTGTGCAAATTTTCTTTCCAGTCCTCTAACAATCCTTTTTAATATGTCTATAAATCAATGTAAATTTCCATCCGCTTGGAAGGAATCTTTCATTGTTCCGCTGTTTAAAAAAGGTAATAGGTCCGATATTGCTAGCTATCGGGGGATTGCAAAGCTCAGTGCTATTCCTAAATTATTCGAAAAATTAATAACTAGTCAATTGCAGCATCAATGTCGGTCGCTTATTTCGCCATGTCAACATGGCTTCACCAGGTGCCGATCTACTACCACCAATTTGCTTGAGTTTACCTCATTAGTAAACCGTGGCTTTTTCCATAAGCAACAAACTGATGTTATTTATACGGATTTTTCCAAAGCATTTGACTCGGTAAACCACTGTGTACTTATAAAAAACTTAATCTTATGGGGTTCCCTCCAAAGTTGTTAGCGTGGTTACTTTCATACCTCACAGACCGCTGTCAGAGGGTGAAATATAATGATATAACGTCCAAAACTCTATGTCAAGGAAGTCATTTGGGACCCTTATTATTTGGCTTGTTGATTAACGACTTACCTCAAGTTATTAAGTCCGCAACTGATTTAATGTTTGCTGACGACGTTAAACTGTGTATGTCTATGTCATTACCGGATTCTTGTTCTCGTCTTCAATTAGATCTTGACTATTTACAGACTTGGTGCAAACTCAATAATTTATATCTTAACTATTCTAAATGTAATGTTATGACCTTTTATCGTCGTAATCCGTCTTTGTATTCGTACTCCATTGACAGCAATGTCCTTCAACGTATTTCTACTATACAAGACCTGGGAGTTTTATTTGAGCATAAACTTTGTTATAATGATAAAATACAATACAATACAAAAAAGCGCCCACACAATGCACATTTGCGCGTTTGCACAGTAAAATAGGCTTCCCACAGAGCTCCATCCACCATCCGTTGAACGGATGGTCCGAAAGGTTTTGCCGTTCCGAAAATTTCCCAGTTAGGCCGCCATCCAATTTTGACGGAGTTTGACGGGCTCTTTTATCCGATAGTTAGGCGATGTTTTTTCGGTGCAACTCTGAATTCTTCCTCTTGACTGTGAAAAGTGGAACCTTGACTACAAGAACAAATCAAATCGATGGCGGGAAAAAATTAAATAATCCTTCAGCTCATTGCTTTTTGGCTGTTGTTGAAGTATTTATAGTTAGTTATGAGCGGGAAAGCATTTGCGAGCAGGTCAGAAATATGTGTGCATACTCGTTATAGGATATGTAATAAATGTTCAGATATGTTTTTAAACTTTTGTTCACGCCAAAAGGGCGTTTAGTTTCGGCAGGCAGTGTCGAGCGGCAGTTTTCTCCAGATCTCCACATCTCGCTCGCTCGCACTGCCCTTCGCTCCCCCTCTCCAACTCTCCCCCAAGTCACCGCTCCACTCTGGAGCCACTAAGCTTAGATAATTGTAATTAGTTCATATTTCCAAGTGCACAAATAAACAGCCGCACGTCGCGCAAAACCCCGAAAGTTTTCCCGTATTTTCCATACATATTTCCGCGCGGATTTTCGCCGCATCTCCTTGGAACTCAACCACTTCTACGATCAAGCTACCGCCGCCCCAAAAACTATTATCTCAATCTATTTACTGTATTTGTTGAGGGTTTACCTGAGGTTGTAGAGTTAATATCCGATCGAAAGACCAAATTTAAAATGCGCGTCTCAGATTTGTACGTCGTTCACATAGACACTTTATTTCGCAAGTGGTCGCCTATTTTGTCGGCGCCAATTCAGTCCTTACAAAAATTCTTATTTTAAAAGGGCTAAATTATAAATGTATTTTTTAACACTGATCGTCCGTTTAATATTTAAATTTGAACTAAAAATATATAAATGTTTAACATTCTTCTCCCAAGTATTGCATTATAATTCAGTTGGCAATACTTAAGCTTTTAAATTGTTTTCTTAACATTTAATTTAGCTAACTTAACAATGGGTCTTTTGTAGATGTTTCCTTTTATCTTAACGTCTTAGCTAACTTAACAATGGGTCTTTTGCCTCGGCAGAAGCGACTCGCTCACCAACCCGTCTCTCTCAATCACCGTCACCGACGGAGCCGACTAAACGGCGCCAGAGACGACGCTCTATCAAATTTCTCTCTCTCAAATTATGCAAGCGCGATCGTGGCAAAGGGAAAAGAACAACAAGAGAGATTGAAATGTAGATTTGGTTTTTCTCGCTCAGTATTCTTTTTATATTTCCGAAAAGCAGGCGCCGTCGTTCCGCGTTTTTCAATTGCGTTCTAACTGTGATAAGTTGTTTTCGAGTTCAAACAAAAGTGCTATTAATCAAGAATGAATTTTTAGGTAAGTAATTTTAATGGGTATTTTAACTTTGTCTTGTCAAAATTATTATAGCTTCTCATTTTTTGAATTTGTATGTTTTATTTTTAGGTCAAGCTGATGGTACAAGGTGCATAAACAATATAATTTCAGATGAGATCATTTTGTCCTACAGCCCATAAGGATGTTATTCTTGCGTTTCTAAGTAAGTTTTTATCGTTCTTGTCTAATATTCTAATATTATATAATATATTATAAAAATATATATTTTCCAAATTCAGATCCCATTGGTCAGGTGAAGCCTGCAGAGCCTCCGGAGATGTGTGAAAAATATCCATGCGCGAAAACGGACCTCACCAAGATTCCGGAAGCCATGACAAACGTACCGAAGACCCTACAAGTCACTGTAGTTGGTAAAAATCTATTAATTTAATGTAAAAGTATGAAAAAAATTTACCAAAAGTGATGTTGTAAAATGAAGTGAAAAGAAAAAAACTTTTGATAAAGGCGATGAAATTCAACATGTTCAGATTGACGATCTGGCCACACACACAATAGCGGCAGAGAATTTGGGCAAAAGGGAGCTATCGATACTTCTAGAGAGAGAGGGAAAGGGCAGTTGGAGTTCGGAACTGCCCCGCGACGCTAACGAAGCTGCGCTATTCTGGTTGATTGCTTGTTATATATAACACACTTGAAGCCCACAAATAAATAGTAAAATTAACTAATTAACTTTCCAAGTGTTTGTATGACTAAAGGAGCCCCTTAATTCTATGACCCCTAGCTGCCGGCAGAAGGGGACACAACTTAACATGGTGGCCCATGAGGGGAAGTCTGCAAGCATTTGTTAATAATGTGCAAACAATTTAAATATATATAAAAGCATAACTACGAAGGTTACAAGAAGGGCGCGGGGGAAGCTCAGTTAGTTCGTGCAGTGCAACTTCACGCGGTTCGACGAACCCAGATGAAACATACCGGATTATTGTTAAGCGCCGCTTTAGATAATAGCTTATCTGCGCTCAGGCGGGACGTACCGTTTGTTTTCTCCGCTTTGGTTTTGTACTGGAATTTTGGGTAAGGAATAAGTGTCCTAGCTGAGCGGCATTAGCTGGGAAGGTTTTATTTACACTATTCAACATGGATCTGGAACCAGAAACTCCGCTGTCCTTGGATCAATTTATTAACCTCCAAGTTGACAGGCACAACGCCTTGAAAAACATTTTGCAAAAATATAGAAAGGACGCGGCAAGTAGTACAACGCAGGTATATTTTAAAAGACGTTTTCAGCAAATAGAGGAATTGCGGAGTGCGTTTTTGATCGCTCACGAGCAGGTTGTCAACATAGACGGCTATGCGGAATCAGCGTATGTTACCAAGCATTTACGTTCCGAGTTTGAAGAACGGTACATGGACGCCTATTGTCTTTTCGCCGAGGATCAAGAGAAGTTTGTGCCAGCGGAGTCTCAGACCGCGACGGTGGCCGCTGCTGTCGGACCGACGGCTGAGGTTCGCATGACGATGCCACAAATGACAGTTCCCAAATTCTCAGGTGCGGCCGTGGACTGGCCAGGTTATTTTGACCCATTCAACAGCCTTGTATTCAACAATCTGTCGCTTACCGGGATGCAAGAGCTGCATTTTCTTAAGGAATCGCTCCCGGTCGGACGCGATAACGACGCACAGTGGGGCGAAAAAGCCAAAAGTCTGCCTTAAATCAGCGGAGCCCTATAGCGAATGTCTTTTGATGGGGCATTCTTAAAGGCAATTAAAGATGTAAAAAAACATCATAAGGTAAATTTTTTTAGTGAATTTTTTTTGTTGTAAAAAATTTTTAAGAAAAAAAATTGTTTTTTTAAGAAAAAAAAATAAATAAATTAGTTATAGGGTTCTAAGTTTCCCAATATTTTTTTCAAATCGGTCAACTATAACTTATAGGTACCATATAAACGCTTATTACAAGGGGGAATGTCTCGGTTCTATTTCAATATTGGTTCATATAAGTTGGGATATTTATCATTTTAGCTCCATGCTTACCTTTTTTTTAATTGGTCAATGATATCTTATAGATGTCATAGAATCAATCAAGGAAATATAGCATATTTTCAAAAAAAATTGGTAGAAACCGGTATTTATTTCATATCTGTATTTTTAGTAAAATAACATAATTTAAAATTTTAAACCCAAATTTGTTTATTAATTTATCATTATCTTCATTAATACCTTTACATAAGTAAAATATCTTCATGATGTTAGGGCGCGCGGATAACCAGGGCTGACGATATTTCAAATTATGAACATTTCTTGCTAACTTAAACTGCGGTTTTCTCAGAAGAGGCACAAAAGGGCAGGCTAATTTTTTCAGACAATGTAGTTACATATCTAAACTTTAAAAAAAAAAGAATTAAACGCGGATCTAGGGTGTAACACTACTTTACGTCCAAAAATATCCAAAAAATCCCAATTTTATTGGACCCCTTTTAAAAAATTAAAAAAAATAGTAATTATGTATCTAAAATTTTTATTGTTTTTTTAATATTTTAAGAATTGGTTGCTCCTAAAATTTTAATCGTTACATATACAACTTAGGCCCTTGGGCGCATTCAGAAAAATTTCAAAGATGTGTAAAAATACCTTTTTTTCTTATTGGCTAAAATTATATATCGAAAAATCCACTTTATAAATCTGTAGTGGGAGAACCATTCATCACAGATCACTCTTTCCTTTTGATTTGTATAGAGAATTCAATTGTTTTTAAAGTTGCATTTAAACATTTTGAAAAATCTTAAAATAATAAAACCATTTTGGCAGGCTTTTTGTTCTAGGCGCCCCACAGTGCGACGTGCGCCAAATGCAGCTCACCGACTCAAACTTCTCGGTAGCTTGGTCCCTGATGCTAAAGCGCTACAACAACCCGCGCCTGGTTTTCGCTCATCACATGAACGCTGTTTTTTTGCTGCCGAAAATACAGAAGCAGTCGTCGGAAGCTCTTCGGACTATGCTCAGCACCGTCAACGTGTGTCTCGCCGCCTTCAAGCGCGTCAAGGCCTTAGAAGGGGAGGCACATCATTGACTGGCGTATGCTTAAGGTGCCATCATTGCGACGGCGGTCACGTTCTGCGCCGTTGTCCGACGTTTTTAGCTATGGAAGCGTGGAGGCGCAAGGAGGTTGTAGGCAGGGCGAAGCTGTGCACCAACTGCCTCAGCAAGGCTCATGCGCTTCCCCGCTGCACCAGCAACAAAGGGTGTCAGGTTTGCGGTCAGCGTCATCATACGCTGTTGCACTTGCCGAGTGGATCTCAGCCCGCCATCGCTCCGCAGACGCCCTCGGCCCATACGTCGTCGCTGCAGCCGCGATCTTCGATGGGGTCCAGGAGCAAGCACATGGTTAACTTCAAGGTTCTAAGCACTAATAACTGTTTTTCGTTAGACGTCTCTTCGGCATACGTGTTGGACACGGTCACTTCGCTGCTGCCCTGCACAAGCTTCTCGCCGCAACGATGGACCCACATTCATGGACTTCCGCTGGCTGATCCGGAGTACTACCCTTCGAAGAGGATTGACCTTATCTTGGGAGCGGACCTCATCGCGCAGATCATGATGTCCGGTATGCGAATAGGAAGTTCTACGGAGCCAATTGCTCAACAGACTCAGCTGGGATGGATTCTCTCAGGTCAAGCCGCCGACGCGACCAACTCCACCAGGATCCGTTGCCATCATGTAGTCTCCGAGGCGGAGTCGCTTCTGAAGGGCTTTCTCGAGATCGAGACCGTACCAGACCGGACGGCTCGTACGGAGGAGGATCGGTGGTGCGAATCGTTCTTCCAAAGAACGCATTCCAGACGTACGGATGGACGGTACGTAGTGCGCCTCCCTTTTAAAGGGTATCTGGATCACAACATCGTGTTGGGACGATCTCACCAAGGAGCCCTTAACCGGTTTCTCCAGCTCGAGCGGCGACTTTCGGCCCGCCCGGTGCAAGGGAGACAGTACGCTGAGGAGATTGAGGAGTATTTTACCTTGGGACAAATCGCAGCCGCGGAAGGATCCGAGAGCAGTTTATGTGTACGCACTCCAGCCGGATTGCATCATGCGCTTACCCCACCATGCCGTCTACAAGGCAGAAGATTCTGTCACGAAGCAAAGGATAGTGTTTGACGCCTCCGCGAAGACCAACAACGTTTTTTTTTTTTTTTTTTCCCCCCCCCCCCCCAAAAAAAAAATTTTTAGGTTCTCCTCAATTGGCGAAAGTATCGCTATGTTTTTGCAGCCGACATTCAAAAAATGTATCGCTGCATTGACGTTCACCCAGAGGACACACAATATCAGCGGATTTTATGGCGGGCGGCGGATGGAAACATCAAGACAAACGCATTGTCGACTCTGACGTTCGGGACGGCATCCGCACCATACACAGCCATTAGAGTCATACACCAGTTGGCGCAGGACGAGAAGGATTCTTTCCCAAGGGCCGCCGAGGTCTTAATGGGGGAGATATATGAGGACGACATATTATCCGGAGGTCACACTATGGAGGATGCGGAGGAAAAGCGGATGCAGGTCGTGTGAGCTATAAAATCCGCTCGGATGGAATTGCGTAAATGCTCGAGTAACGACCCGCGACTGCTAGGCTCTGCTCCGCAGGAGCATCGATTTGACCAGACGCTTTTAAATTGGGATACAAGGGATCCGGTAAAAGCGTTGGGGATGTACTGTTTCAAGTTTAAAACAAGAAAGGAAGCTACCTTCGGCCAGCCGAAGCTTATATACCCTTGCAGATAAAGTAATGCTCACTCGGTGCAGTTCCAGGGATTCCAGATTCAGCGTTTCTACTTAAATTTTGTTTTTAAGTAGTCAAGAATCAAAACGCCTACTTCCTACAAAGTTACAATGAATTTTCTCATATTTGTTTGAATATTCCTATGGAAGCCCTAAGATATAGTGGTCCGATCTGGCTCGCTCCGACATATGTACTACCTGAAATTGAAAGACGACTGTCGGGAAAGTTTCATCGCGATAGCTTTAAAACTGAGAGACTAGTTCGCATAGAAACGGACAGACGGACAGACGGACAGACAGACAGACGGACAGACGGACAGACGGACATGGCTAGATAGACTCGGCTATTGGTCCTGATCAAGAATATATATACTTTATGAAACGTCTCCTTCACTGCGTTGCAAACATCTGACTGAAATTATAATACCCTCTACAAGGGTATAATGAATTTTGACTTTCCAGATTGCACGACGAAAAGGACTTTGCTGGCCCCTATCGCGCGTTTTTTCGATCCGTTAGGTCTGATAGCTCCGGTGATCATAGCTGGAAAGCTCATTTTAAAGGAGGTGACTTCGGTCAAGGTGGCGAACAGCGAGGGAGTGCAGGTGTCGTTGGACTGGGACTCACCGCTGCCAGCAGCGATTCTGGAGCGTTGGCGAGCGTTTCGCTCCGACCTCCCAGGAATCGAGGACATCGCCGTCAGTCGGTGGACTGAGTAGATCCGGCCTCCGTAGCCGGTGTGCAGCTGCATGCGTTCTGCGACGGGTCGTCGTCGTCTTATGCTGCCTCGGTTTACATGCGAGTCGAGCACGTCAACGGGAACGTCAGCACGACCTTGCTTGCGGCCAAGACAAAGGTCACTCCAGTCAAGCCGTTAACCATACCCATGACGGAACTAAGCGGAGCGGTTCTAGC